AAATGGGGTATGGGGTCAGGAATGGGGTCAGGAATGGGGAAATCCCTGTGGGAATGGGACACAGGAGTGGGGACGGCGCTGCTGGTCAAAGTGGAGGAGCAGAGGAACATCAGCAGTGAGTGATGGGAAATGGGGATAAAAATATGAAAAATGGGAAAAAATGGGGAAAAAATGGGGAAAAAATGGGAAAAAATGGGGTAAAATGGGATAAAATGGGATATAGGATCAGGGATCCCTGTGGGAATGGGGAAATCACTGTGGGAATGGGACACGGGGGAGTGGGGACGGCGCTGCTGGTCAAAGTGGAGGAGCAGAGGAACATCAGCAGTGAGTGATGGGGAAATGGGGAAAAATGGGATAAAAATGGGAAAAATGGGAGAAAACGGGGAAAAATGGGATAAAATGGGATGAAATGGGGTTTGGGATTGGGGGATCACTGTGGGAATGGGACACAGGGGAGTGGGGACGGCGCTGCTGGTCAAAGTGGAGGAGCAGAGGAACATCAGCAGTGAGTGATGGGGAAATGGGGAAAAATGGGATAAAAATGGGGGAAAATAGGGAAAAAATGGGGAGAAATGGGGAAAAATGGGAAAAATGGGGGAAAATGGGGGAAAAATGGGATATGGGATCAGGGGATCAATGTGGGAATGGGACACGGGGGAGTGGGGACGGCGCTGCTGGTCAAAGTGGAGGAGCAGAGGAACCTCAGCAGTGAGTGATGGGGAAAAATGGGAAAAATGGGATAAAAATATGAAAAAATGGGAAAAAATGGGGAAAAATGGGAAAAAATGGGGAAAAACGGGGTCAGGAATGGGGTCAGGAATGGGGAAATCCCTGTGGGAATGGGACACAGGGGAGTGGGGACGGTGCTGCTGGTCAAAGTGGAGGAGCAGAGGAACATCAGCAGTGAGTGAGGGGGAAAAAATGGGGAAAAATGGTAAAAAAGGGGAAAATGGGGAAAAACGGGGAAAAAATGGGGAAAAAATGGGAAAAATGGGGGAAAAAATGGGGAAAAAAATGGGATATGGGATCGGGGATCACTGTGGGAATGGGACACAGGGGAGTGGGGACGGCGCTGCTGGTCAAAGTGGAGGAGCAGAGGAACATCAGCAGTGAGTGATGGGAAATGGGGAAAAATGGGGAAAAATGGGAAAAAATGGGGAAAAAGGGGGTTTGGGATCGGGAATGGGATTGGGATTGGGATTTGGGAATTCCAGGACAATCCCAGCAGGAATAGGAACAGGAATGGGATTTGGGAATGAGAATGGGATTGGAAATGGGGCTGGGGATGGGATCAGGAATAGGATCGGGATTGGGATTTGGGAATTCTGGGACAATCCCAGCAGGAATAGGAATGGGAATGGGGCTGGGAATGGTATCACGGTTGGGATTTGGGAATTCTGGGACATTCCCATCAGGAATGGGGATGGAAATGGGATCAGGATTGGGATCGGGAATGGGATTTGGGAATTCCATCAGGAATGGGGATGGGAAATGGGATTGGGAATGGGATCAGGAATGGGATCGGGAT